CCCCCCCCAGTCTGTGTCGTTTGATTGAATTGTTCCTAACAGTCTCTCTTTCTGTGTTTTCAGGGAAGAGCTACAGGGTCCCTGAGGGTCTGGAGGACGGAGGGAAGAGGAAGAGGAAGAGAGTTTCTGCTCTGCAGGACTTCAGGAGCTGGTTCACCGGAACCTGTGAGATCAATACAGATCAGATACAGACTTGTCGTCTGACTGCTTGCTTTGTGCCATTTATTTCCGTCATTCAGACTTTTATTACATTTTTCACATTTTATACATAAAACGGCGCCCTAGTTATAAGAACTTTTCCCAGGAATAGTTCCTGAACTCTTTAGTCCCTGAACTTTCTAGCAGATCGCGTTCACACCGGAATAAGTCCCTGAGGGAGGGTTAGGCAAATGAAGCCGCTGACGTCACTTCTTCTTCTTCTGCTTTGGGTTTACTGGCAGGCTGCAAACCACTTCACGGCGTATACTGCCACCCGGAGTCCCCGGAGTTGGGGAAGGCTTCAGTAGAAGCTGCTGGGACTCCCAGCAGCCTCTACTGAAGGCTTCAGAGTAAATCGCCAGAACGCCGACACCTCCTCATCTCCTCCGCTCCCATTTTTTCTTTTGTGTTGCCATAAGTTAGTCTCTCTCCGTTGCTGCGCGGGGCTAATGCTAATGCTAATAATGCTAATGCCAGCAAATACAATGGCGGCTTCACAATAACTTTTCAGAGTTTTACGGGGCGTTGTTTGCAATTCGCCCAGCCAATAGAAATTGGAACCGTTTCCTCCCCAGGAAAGAACCACCTCTCTAGCAGGGACTGAAAAGGGGGAAAAGGTTCTTTTTGGTGTGAACGCTTAATCCCAGGAACTATCGGAACTAAAAGGGAAAAGTACTCCGGTGTGAACGCGCCTATTCTCTCCCACACACATGCATACCTTTAACATTATGAATTATTCATCTAAATACTGATCTCTTGTTTCAGTCGACCCTCCTCAGCAGAAGCTGAAAAACGGACCCACGTTTGCAGGTAATGTTAGCTTAGCTTAGCATAGTGATTGTAAACGGAGGCAAACTGCTAGCATGTGAGCTCAGAACAGTTTTAACAGTTAAACTGAATGTTTTATTGTGTTTTATTTAAAATGTTTGCAGACCTGAACTACATCTACCTGAGCACGATGAAGGACAAGCTGAAGAGCAGGAAGAGGCTCTACAGGAAGGCGGTACGAAATATGGAAAAATATATATTATGAGTATTTTGGTCCGTTATTATATATATATATGTAGGTATTTATTTCTATTATCTATTTATATATTTAATAATTGTATTTAATTAAATATATATTTATGAATTAATTCCTTTTTTTATTTATTCATCTACTTCTTGTTTTGTTTAATTATAAGTAAATTATTCATTTTATATTGTGTTTACATTTGTTCTACATTTTTTGTAAGTTATTGGTATATCTCATTTTTATAAATTATTTACTAATGTTATATTACATTTTTATTTATTTTCTATATTCAGAATGATATTTTATATTATCATTTTTTTATATATATATTTTTAAGTCAATTATTTGTAATCTATTTTAAAGTTTTAATGCGTGATGTCTCCAGGGCGTCGTTGTGTCTGACGAGGAGCTAAGGAGGACCTTCCTGCAGCCAGAGGGGGCGGGGCTTAACCAGGGGGAGGAGCCTGAGGACGGGTTCATACCACCTGACATGCTGGGTAACACACTCACTCACTCACTCACACACACACACACACACACACACACACTCACTCACTCACACTGTCACACACACACACACACACACACACACTCACTCACTCACTCACTCACTCACTCACTCACTCACTCACTCACTCACTCACTCACTCACTCACTCACTCACTCACACTGTCACACACACACACACACACACTCTCACACACACACACACACACACACACACACACACACACACACACACACACACACACACACACACACTCACTCACACTCTCACACACACACACACACACACACACACACTCACTCACACACACACACACACACACACACACACACTCACTCACTCACTCACTCACTCACTCACTCACACT